TTGATAAGGACCTTCCTCTAGGTGTAATGAGAAGGTCCACTCCACCAATCTCAACTACTCAGCTATTGTGGACATAAGGCGCACATGCAGCACAATGACTCCGAGCCCTGTGTGGAAATGCTGTTCAGTGATACTGTGTAGATATCACCTCATTATGTGCTGCACCCATCTTACCACTCTGGAACTGCCTTTGCCTCCCACATTGAGGCCAGAGATGTGGCAAGGAGCAAGAGTGTGCTGGTACTGAGAAATGACAGTGCCAAAAAGACCAACAAGCTGATTGTAGCATGGACTAGAACACTTATCTAAAAACAGCTTGACTTAATTATTCAAATCACTATCTGGAGGGCCACAGTCTAAGGCCCTCCAAATGCTTAGCAAGACCAAGATATCGTAATTAGGAAGCTAACTTATGGGGGTGGGAGGCTGAAAGCCCTGTGACCACAATGTTTCTGGGTCAAGGCAAGACTGGGGAGGTGTCTGGGTGAACCTAAATTTATTTCACTTTCTTATGTCAATCACTGCTTACCCCTTCCAATATGTCTTCTCCCACTGCTCACTCGAGGTACCTCTTACCCTTATTTACCAAATCCAGTTGGAAAGAATACTGTCAGAGTGAGTGCTGTTTTCTCCATCCTCATCTTTCTATCTCAGTAGCATCTGCTACTCTTTTAATTCATGCCTGCCTAGGAAACATTTTCCCTCTTGGGTCCTTTTCCTTTAAAACACACACTTATTTTAATCTGATCACTTAAAGGAGAGTACTTCCAGCAGGTGAAGGAAATACTTTCATTAGGGGCTTTGCAAGGGTCCAAATATATATACATCATCATTTTGGTAACCATAAGGCTTTGCAGTTTATGGCATCTATTAGGAAGATGCTCCCAGTGGGGTCAAATATTCTCAGCAGTGGCATGGCAGAGCACCAATGATGGTAGCAGATGCTCAGATACAAGGAATGCACAGAGACACCCAAACTGTGGACGTACTCTTGGAACACAAGAAACACCCAGAGACTAACAGAAATAATTGTGAGGGAACGGGTGTTTTATAGGAGATGGAGTGTGAACTGGTGAGATATGAGAATTAATGAAGTTGTGTTCTCTTTCATACCATTATGCTGTGCCTACACTGTGTGCTTGGCACTATGCTAGGCATTAGATAAAAAAGACATGGTTTCATTTACCAAAGAACTCACAGTCTTGTTATCACGACAAATATAGGAAAGCAGACAATAACTAGAACCTCCTGGAACATTTTAGTGTTTCAATTTTTAAAACTGAGATTTTTCATTTGAGTTTGAAAAAGTTAATTAAGAAGTTTTCTTGGGCTGGTTTGATCTGATTACCCAACTACCTCCCTATTTTAGATGGAAATTGAGGCCCACCCATAGAGGTTAAGTAATATTTCCAAAATCAGTCACAGGTGGCTAGAAGCACGACAGGAAAAGGCCAAATCTAACACTCAAAATTACTCTTTTCCATTACATCATAATGTCTCATTTATAAGCCACTAAATGAATGCCTCTACTCTGGTTTTTCATTCATAGCTATATGGAAAAGAACAGTATAGTGAAAAAAGCATGGCTACATAATCAGAGCAACCTCGTATCTGAATTTTCTGACAAATTTACACTACTTTGTTTAGCATTAAGCCTGGTTGTAATAAAACAGCTAAGTGTTCTGGAAGAAATTATGATAAATCAATACTACTAACAAAAGACTGGATATGTGAGTTTGCACCTGCTTATTAGGCTTTATCCCTGTCCCAGGATTTGTTAACAGATTATATCAACATCTCTCAGCAAAGCTAACTGAAAAGTGACGACGAAAGAATGACAGTATTAACACTAATTGATGTCTTGTTAGAAAACAGCCATACCAAACAACCTTTAGGACTTACTTTATCCTACAAATGTAACTAGTAAATTAAGAAGGTAATACAAAATCAAGGAAATCCAGTTTAAAAGTATAAATATTTTTCATGTGCTCTAACACAGCCCTCACATTTCATCTATTCACATTTTCTACAGCTCTGCTAAATAATTTTGATAAACCTGTTTCTCAAAAATGCCTTAAAACTGCTACCACTGTCTAAACTGAAAGCATACAGTTTTTCTTAATACTGAATACTTTATCTTATTATTGAGAGCATTGTCTAAACTGAAAGCCTAACTTCTCAATTACTATATTTTTGAAACTGCACACAAATATTATACTAGTTAGGCTGAAGGGAAAAAATATGCCAATCACACTTTTTGCAGCCCTAAAATTCTCTCTGCTTTTAGGTTTTATGAATGTTGAATCATGAAATAAAGGAAACAGACAATGAAAGACAATGAAAAGAACCCAAAGAAGTAGTTCATCTCCTATTTCAGGCTTCCTAATTATGGTGTCTTGGTCTTGCTAAGCATGTAACTAAAAAGCTCAAGTTCATTTTCAGAAACTGTGAACTCAAAGATAGAACTAAAACGTTTATTACACGTTCAACTTCCTGTTTTATTTAGACAGCTCATCATGACCATTTCAGGTAACAAAACCCAACTTCCTCTTTATAAAGTGATTTAAAAAAAAAAACTTCAGCAGTTATGAGAATGGATGATTTTACTAGCTTTTACAAAAATATAAGGAAATTAGAGTCCATTCATTATCACCAACTTTTCTAAAGGCTTACTGCCTTTAGAAAATGTAACAAAGATAAAATGCAATATTGACATATATTTGGCAACAAAAGGAGTATGCTAGAAGAGGAAACTGGTCACAGACCTGTTATTACCAAACCAAGACTAGACCTGCACCGTAGCTCACGTCTGTAATCCCTGCACTTTGGGAGGCTGAAGCGGGAGGATCATGAGGTCAGGAGTTTGAGATCAGCCTGGCCAACATAGTGAAATCCCATCTCTACTAAAAATACAAAAATTAGCTGGACATGGTGGCAGGCACCTGTAATCCCAGCTACTCCGGAGGCTGTGGCAGGAGAATCTTTTGAACCCAGGAGGCAGAGGTCGCAAGGAGCTGAGACCACGCCACTGCACTCCAGCCCAGCTGACAGTATGAGACTCTGTCTCAAAACAAAACAACCCAAGACTATTAATGTTATTAATTAAAACACTGTCAGTATCTAAAGGCATCTTAATTGGCACTTTAAAAAATATATTTTCCCAAGTTTAATTAAAGGCATTCTAACCCGGTATCAAAGACAAAAATCCAACAACACTGGTCAATGTGTACCACGTAGGCACAATAAACTGAAAAGTTTATTATTCAAATTATTTGTGAAATTTTGGCTGGGTGCAATGGCTTAAGCCTGCAATCCCAGCACTTTAGGTGGCTGAGGCGGATGGATCGCTTGAGCTGAAGAGTTGGAGACCAGCCTGGGCAACAAAAGGAAACTCAGTCTCTACAAGAAATACAAAAATTAAATGGGCATGGTGGTGCAAGCCTGTAATTCCAGCTCCTGGGGAGGCTGAGGCAGGAGAATCGCTTGAACGCGGGAGGCAGAAGTGGCAGCAAGCCAAGATTGCCCTATTGCACTCCAACCTGGGCGACAGAGCAACACTTTATCTCAAAAAAAAAAAAAAAAAAAAAAACAAACCTGTGAAATTTTATTGTAACAGTATTTTTGCTTACTTTTATTTGAATCATTAACTATTTCCTTTAGAACAATTTATTATAATTTCCAGCATAAGCTCATATATAAATGTCTTTGTTTTTGTCCTAAATCTTAAACATTTATGAAGATGTTTCCAAATAAGAGAAAATCTAATGCTGCTGTTGTTCGATGGCTTGTTAAGCATTTCAAAATGGCATGCTATATGTAACTATATCAAGTTATTCTGTACAGAGGTCTTACGGATCTTAACAGTCCCCTCCCCATTCCAATTTCTTATTTAAAAAGACCCAGGTAGATTTACAGAGTACTCAAGGGGGCACATTTTCTAATAGCCACAGTGGGAGACAAATGTCATAATTCCTGTGCAATAAATTGTCTTGTGAGATCCACTCTAAGTTCTATGTGCCCTAAAATCATGTACTTACTGAAAAGCCTGACAAACTGTTATGAAACTGTGCAACTGTCAGAAGAAAAGTGAGTCCACCTAACTTAGAATGTGCTTTTGTATTTAAGACAATTTTCAAGAAATAAGTATACAAATTGCACACTGACAAATTCACCTATCAAAGACTCCACAGTGGAGCATCAAAGAAGGGAGGATGCTTTGTCCAGACTTGAATGTGTTAACATGAGGTTTATTATGTGTTAACAGAAAACCTTTCTGGAGGTGAAGAAAATCCATCAGCTATTCTAGATTTGTTAACAAGAAACAAAATTTTCAAATATTATCGTGAAAAGGATGTGTCTACAGGGAAAGACTGGTGTTCAAATTCTGAAGCAAAGTCCCTGGGGCTCACAGATTACAGCGCATCAGTCAGGCGACAGTATGTGAGAAAAAGTAGTAGATGTGTAGCGAGGTGGACATTTGGGACCTCTCTCTGTCGAGGAGTCGTGACAGCAAAATCACTTCCTGAGGAAGGAGGAGCAAAAGGGAAGTTAAGAGGCCGTCCTGATCAGGAAGTGACTCGCCCTAAACTAACCCCACTTATATCTACAAATGGGGGGATGGGATGAGCCCCATCTGCTAAAGGCGGTAAAATAACTGCTTTTCGGTGTGTCGCAACATAACCTTCACCCCTCTCAAAATTACAGAAAAAAGTCCACAGTGACCACCCAGTAAAGGAAACGTCTGTTCCCTTGCAGAGAGGCCCCTGGGCTGTGCCTTAGGCCCGGGAGGAAAGGAGAATCGAGGAACGAGGAACTGGGGCCACCGTGAGGCAGAGGAAAGCCCCGTAAGAGGGAAGCGTCCCGACTGCGGAGAGCGTATGTCAGTATGGGCCAAGAAGTTTCTTTTTCCTGGAGATACTGCCAGGCTCCCAACGCAGCCCGGCCGGGCCCCTGTTCCCTGTCGGGGGAGGAGGTAAGAGAAAGAGGCGGACACCCCTTACCTTCTCCTCATCCGACACACGATCATCGAAGTCGGCCATCTTGGGCTGTTCTGGCCCAGCCCGGCTGCGGGCGCGAGGCAGGCCGGGAAGGAAGCCGAGTGATGGAATCACCGCGGGGGCCGTCGGAAGGACCCGCCCGGAAACGCCGACTGAGAGGGCGCCATGTCAGTTATGCGCGGGGGTGACGTCTCTTAGCGCCAGCGCCCTAGGAAGTCGGCTTTGCCTTCGGTGATTTGAAGTCTAATATCTTTCTCATTTCTCATCCATCTAATGGGCACTGGCAGCGTGTTTCGATTTTTCTTGGCTCCTGGCCTCCATCCAAGTAGCTATTGCTACTCCTATGTTTTTCTGGTACCCGTTTATCTTCATGACAGCCGAGTCCAAAGCGCTAAGAGCTGCTCGGCCGCTGGAACGATCCGTGGCTTTTCCAACCCCGGGGGGGGGCAGGGGTGTGAAAGGTGACGCTCATCTCGCTTGGAAGCAGTAACACTTCACTTTGGGGTCACATCTCAGTCCAGTCCTCCAAAACAGGCATTGCTGTCCGCCCCTTCCCTGCCCCACGAAGGAATAGGTAGCCCCAATGTTGGGACACGCTCCTCCACCTTCGAAATCTTCTCGGTCCCGGTTCCCCAGGACTCAGCCTTCAGAGAGACCAACTGAAGGTCCGCCACTATCCCAGGATTCCCGACTCCCTGTTTCCTGTCCTCCCCTCCCAGCTCCCGCGGTAGCGGCAAGATGGCGGACCGTGGCTGTTTGGCGGAAGCCGAGGCTGCTGGAGAGTCTCCTGCACTTGTGCTCGGCGTAAACCCGATTCTGGGCTGGAGGGAGCGACTGAGGGCCGGACTGGCGGGGACTGGGGCCTCGTTGTGGTTCGTGGCGGGACTGGGACTGCTTTACGCTCTGAGGATCCCTTTGAGGCTGTGTGAGAATTTGGCAGCGGGTGAGAGGACCAGACCTTCTGGGACAGGGCTGGGGGCCAGGAAAGGTATTGTGGGCAAGAGCCAAAGGGCAGAGATTCTCCGTAGTTGTAACTCTGAGGAGTCGATGATGCGTGACCAAGTGCGTTCTTTTTCTTTTGGGCTGCAACCTTGCAGTTGATTGTCAAACCTGCTGCCGCTACCGGCTCCTCCCTAGAACTCTTAAGGTCCGCCCTCTCTCTTATGTCCTCGTTTTTTTTCGTGGAAAAGCCACCTGACAAACTATAAGTTTCAGGTATTTGGACAGAAGAGTGCATTCTCAGATTAGGATACATAATTTATATACACCCCCACCACTGGTAGGATCCCTTAAAAGTCATTACTTTGAGTCTCCCACCGCCCAGCTGAGAGAACTCATACCCAGACGAGGAAAATGAGCACATCTGTAGTTTAAAGATTTCAAAGAAAGAAAATGGCATGATTTTAATTGATCGTTCTCTTGTTTTAAAATAGTTCTGTTAAGAAATAGTTTTCGTGATATTTTTGTCTGTTCTTTTAGGCTTATCTTGACTAATAAAATAGTACAGGAAATGAGACAGCACCACAAACACCAGTGGGTTTGCTAGTTCTTTCAACATCTGTAGAGCACTTGCTATGTAGTCTTTGCTGAAAATACAAAGAATGTAAGAAGTGATGATCCTGATGGATTCTTATATACTGTACTATTCTTTAGTTGTAGATAAGATGAAGTGTTGAGGGCCCAGGCCCTCTTACCATGTGATTATATATCACTCAAGGTCTGAGCAGCAACCTCAGAACAAGATGGAAGTATTTCTGTTACCTGATTCAGTACAGTGGTTGGTTTTTCTGTAGCAAAAGGCAGCAAATGTCCCCTTTCCTGTTCCAGAGATGACATGAAAGACTGTGAGGTAATGTTCGGAAATATTTTGGCTTTTTTAGAGGATAGGTATGATTAAGGTCAGATATAACTTGCACAATAAAATAAGCTAAACTGAGGCCGGGCACGGTGGCTCACGCCTATAATCCAAGCACTTTGGAGGCCAAGGCGGTTGGATCACTTGAGGTCGGGAGTTCAAGACCAGCCTGACCAACATGGTGAAACCCCGTCTTTAAAAAAAAAAAAAAAAAAAAAGCTAAACTGAAGTGCTAGTTTGGCATCTCTGTAACAGGTGAAGTGCATAACAGTGGTTAATAATCACAGTGTTACTGATTGATTTGTCATTTATTTTTCTACATGTTAACCATTACATTTAATAAAAATAGTTGATTATAGATTTTTTTTTCTTTCTTTCTTTTAGCTTTTCTTTTTTTTTTTTTTTTTTAAGACAGTCTCCCTCTGTCACCCAGGCTGGAGTTCAATGGCAAGATCACTGCAGCCTTGAACTCTTTTGCTCAAGCAATCCTCCAGCCTCAGCCTCCCAAGCAGCTAAGACTACAGGCCATGCACCACCACGGCTGGCTGAGTTTTATATTTTGTATAGAGATTGGGTCTCTTTTATTTGCCCAGGCTGGTCTTGAACTCCTGACTACAAGTGATCCACCTACCTTACCCTCCCAAAACTCTGAGATTATGGGAGTGAGCCATCTTAGCTGGCCAGATTTTTATTTCTTTCTAAAACCCACAGTATTTATGAGAGAATTATTTGAAGTGAAAAATCTGCTCCAGGATTTCAGTAAGTCAGAGAGATTTCTGTTTGTTGTTTTTCTCTTTGAGCCATTTTGCCTCTCTAGCTGACATACCAAATATACACACTGTCCCTCTAATTTGAGACTGTGGTTTTGTATCTTACCAAAATAATTATGGAGTAGTTTTGAACCTCCTTTGTAAAAGCATGTTTGTTTAGCTTCTTATTTTTACAGACTTGCAAAAGTTCTTGTCTAAATTATGACTTATAAGTGCTTTAGTTTTAGTCTCTCTGTTTTTTTTTTTTTTTTGAGATGGAATTTCGCTATTTTTGCCCAGGCTGGAGTGCAATGGCTTACTGCAACCTCCACTTCCCAAGTTCAAGCGATTCTCCTGCCTCTGCCTCCTGAGTAACTTGAATTACAGGCATGTGCCATCATGCCCAGCAAATTTTTTTTGTATTTTTAGTAGAGACAGGGTTTCTCCATGTTGGTCAGGCTGGTCTTGAACTCTCAACCTCAGGTGATCCGCCTGCCTCGGCCTCCCAAAGTGCTGGGATTACAGGAGTGAGCCACAGCTCCCGGTCAGTTTTACTCTCAAAAGCAAGTTAAATTACCTTATTTGATTTGTTGCAAATATTACTAATATGTATAAGCCATTATGTATAATATATACAAATTAAAACTTTTTAAGTGAATTTCACACTAGGTATTAATACTACTTAAGTGCACATTTGTAACCTAAGCACTTTAAATTTGCATTTTTAAAAACTTTAATTCTTGTTCTTTTGACAGTGACTGTGTTTTTAAGTTCACTGACACCCAAATTCTATGTGGCACTTACAGGGACATCTTCATTGATATCAGGATTAATATTTGTAAGTACTTTCTATTTCCTTCCTTCATGTTTTGGTATTTATCTAAAGATCCTTTATATGGTTATAATAATTATAAATTGTAATTACCTATTGATCAGCATTTCCAAAACGTATTCAGCATTTGAAAAGAGTTACCTATTCAAACAAGTCTGGGGAACACTGCATCTCCCAATCCACATTTAGAGATTGACAGTATTTATTTACATATTAAAGGTTTATTGTAAACTCTAGTCAGGGAGGGCTTGGGGTGTGTTGGAAATAAATGCCTGCAGAGCCCAAGTTGGTAACAAAAATGAGTGAGATTGAAAGACTTTAAGAATTAAATTCTTGTTTCCTTAAGGACTGGGTAACCTGAACAGTGCATGCCCCTTCTAAAAAAGGCTAAAGCTAATTGTTGCCATATAAACTTGTGTCTAGTATTACCAGTTCTTCCAATTTTTCAGGTGATTTAAAAAGAACCCAGATAGGCTGGGCACTGTGGCTCATGCCTATAATCCCAGCACTTTGGGAGCCCGAAGTAGGCCAGGAGTTTAAGAACAGCCTGGCCAACATGGTGAAACCCTGTCTACTAAAATACAAAAATTGATTGGGTTTGGTGGCGGGTGCGTGTAGTCTCAGCTACTCAGGAGACTGAGGCACAGGAATTGCTTGAACGCAGGAGGCAGAGGTTACAGTGAGCCACGATCATGCCACTGCACTTCAGACTGGGCGTCAGAGAGAAACCATTTCTCAAAAATGAATAAATGAATAAATCAATAAATAGAACCTGGATATACAGTTTTTATATAAAATTTGCTCATCGAAAAAAATTAAGATGGAGTCTCACTATGTTGCCGAGGCTGGAGTGCAGTAGCTATTCACAGGCACCATTAAAGCACACTGTAGCCTTAACTCCTGGGCTCAAGCCATCCTCTCATCTCAGCCTCCCCAGTAGCTGGGATTACAGGTGTGTGCCACCATGTCTGACCACAGTATTTTAATATTGGCAACATTGGGCAGACTAAAATTTGTGTGTTATGCATTCAACCGATAGTTTTTCCAAGGCCCAGTTTCCTCATCTGTTAACTGAGGTTAATAACAGCATGAACTTTATAGGATTATGAAGACTAATCAGATGTTATGAAAGTTTATAACATGGTAGCTGCTTCAGAGTGTGCACTTAATGAATTTTGGCTACTATTATTCTGAGAATTCTCACAATTAAGAAACTTGTTTGGCCTGACAGACTGGTTCATCCCTATAATCCTAGAACTTTCGGTGACCAAGGTGGACTGATGATTCAAGCCCAGGAGTTTGAGACCAGCCTGAGGAACATGGAAAAACCCTGTCTCTACAAAAAAATACAAAAATTTGCTGGTGCATGGCATGCACCTATAGTCCCAGCTACTGGAGAGGCTGAGGTGGGAGGATCACTTGAACCCTGAAGGGAGAGGTTGCAGTGAGCCAAGATGGCACCATTGCACTACAGAGCAAGACTATCTCAAAACAACAACCACCACCAAAAAAAACCAAAACTGTTTAACTTTTATTCAACTTTTCCTTTAAGAAGATATTTTTAATTAAAAAAAAAAATTAAAGACTGGGCATGGTAGCTCATGCCTGTAATCCCAGCACTTTGGTAGGTTGAGGCAGGCAGATCACTTGAGGTTGAGAGTTCAAAACCAGCCTGACCAAGATGGAGAAACCTCGTCTCTAGTAAAAATACAAAAAAAATTAACTGGGTATGGTGGCGCATGCCTGTAATCCCAGCTACTCAGGAGGCTGAGGCAAGAGAATCCCTTGAGCTG